TGGTTTCCCTCTGGTGGGTCCGTCAGTTTTCCCAGTGCAGCTCTGAACTGTGCTTGTTAGTTTAGGGCAGCCAGGGTGGTTACAGGTGCAGATGTCTCCTTCTCCACAGTAAACCATTCTGGACCTGTCCTGATGTCTTCTGTGCACCTGCGCTATCTGATCGCTACTGTTCTGGATGTAATTGTGTTCAGTTTTCAGCAAAGTTGGAAGAGTAACATCACATTGCATGACTCTTCTGTAGTTCAGGACACCAAGAAATATCATGTAAGAAAGAGAAAGCCCCTAGCTATCTGCGTGAAAGAAATTAACATATGCAGAGAAATAGATAGTATATATTTCCCTCACATCATAATTAAAGTTATCTTCAAAATTCTAGGAGGTCCGTACCGCTTTGAACGAACTGAAATTCCCACCGACTCAGAGAAGAGAGCACTACACTGGCCTGGTCAATATGGCTACTATAATGTAAGGAATGGCATTCGATACTCCTTTGTAATACTGCTATACAGTATCCTTTTGTCTTTAATAATTCAAAGCTGGATGCAACAATTTTAAGAATAAACATCTTTTCTATGCTTCTGAATATCTTTGTCTTAAAAACCTACAGTAATTGTTTAGAGAATATTTTACAGTTTTGAAGGGTTTAAAGGGCCTTTTCTATCTGCCTGGCGTTCTATAGTTCCCCAAATCAGCAGAGGGATTCGTCCAGGTTTTTTACCCCAAACCTCCCAAGACCGTGGCCCCAAACCCAGGCCTGAGGCCCTGGGACACCACCCTCTCGGAGAAGACAGCCAACACGCTGAGGAACCTGGAGAGATCCTACTGGCTCACCTCCTACCAGCTCCACTACACAGGTGCAGGAACTGAACCCCGAAACAGGACTGGGGTTACGGGCTCATGGGCCTTTGGATTGCTGGGGCACCACTCCAGTCCCCCAGGGCCAGAATCCAGCAGGTGAAGACTCCTGAAATGCAGCTGCAGTAGGTTTGAGGAAGTGAGAACCTGACACTGCTGCTTCCAGGAGTCAGCAGTTCACCACAGCTGTAGATGAAGGGCAGGTGGATCATCTCTTATCTAAAATGGACAAGTCAAGGTTTATTCCAGGCTGAAAAGAGAAGAACCACAACGTTTCAGCTATGGGTCTCAACACACCTAAAGAAGGCTCCACAGCCGAAACGTTGTCTTTCTTTTCTTCTCTTTTCACCATGGAATAAACCTTGACTTGTTCCTTTTGCAGTGTACACTGGCTGACACAGCTCCCTATTGTACTACATTTGTCTAAAATGCCTATAATGACCTTGGGTCAGTTAGGTATGGGCTGCGGTGAACTCTTTCTTTAGAAACTGTACCCCAGTAGGTCTCAGTTCAGGTATGGAGAACTCAGACACACTCAGGGCTAAATAAAATACAGCCTCTGTTTAGGAAGCGGGCCCATGAATCCAGTGCAGCTGGATGACTACCACGCAAGGGTCATCGCAGCTGTTTCTGGGGAGCTCACGCCATGTTCACCACGACTGGTAAGTCAATCTGTATACATCTGTGTGAGGCAGCTGCCCTCTCTGAATACAGGAGTGTGACATTGCCCTCTCCTCTGTAGAGAGAGTGGTCCCATCCCGCCTTTTCTCCTCCCTGCCCACTTGAAGGCCGCTATGCCAGGATACGCCAAGGTCGGCGCCCTCTGGCATCGCCACTTCCTGGCCTTCAGTCAGGCCGGCCCTGCGCCCCGAACCTGCCTGCGCCCCAGGACCAGCACAAAGGTCACCGGGCCTACACCCCCAACCCGCCTGCGTCACAGGACCAGCACGAGGGTCACTGGGCCTGCGCCCCCGACCCGCCTGCGTCACAGGACCAGCACGAGGGTCACTGGGCCTGCGCCCCCGACCCCCCTGCGCCCCAGGACCAGCACGAGTGTGACGGGAGAGCTGCTTTCTTGCGGCCACACGGGGGCGCCAGTCCCTGTGAGGCCTGTGGCTGTGGAAGCCCAGCTTCATGCCTTCAGGAGCAAGAGCCCGGAAGAGACAGCGGTGATCCTGGGGGACCGCTGGCGGAAACTGGAATAACGGGAAAGATAACGGACACGGCCCAGGCCCTGGCCCTTCACGCCCGGCAGCTCGTACCCCCCCTCCCCGGGCAGGAGGGACCTGCAGAGGCCCCCAGGGACCTGCGTTATGAGGACTTGCCAGGCAGCAGGAAACAGGATTATAAAGCTGGGAATAATCCGTTCAGTCTCAGCCGCCCCCAGCCCCAGCCCACAGAGCCCCCCGGCGCGGCCCCCGAGCACGACCGCGGCGGCTGGGACACACCGCTCGGCGCTTCCCGTCTCCTGCTTGGGCCCGGCGGGAGAGCCGCGCCTGGCACCCTGTGGCCGAGCCACGGCCCGGCCCGCCCCCGGGCTGGACTCCTGGAGCTGCAGGGCTCCTTCAGCAGGTACGAAGCCCACAGGAGGCTCCACGCCTCCATCGCTGGGAGCCCTGTGGACCTGCGGGACAGCGTGTGTACCGGCAGGAGGCACCGGTTCTTCGGCTTTAATTCTTACTATTTCCACAACTGACACGTGTCCACAGTCGCCAAGAGTGTTTCTGAGAGGCGCCATCGCAATGGGATTGAAGGGTGTGACTTTGACGTCTCCTGGTGATGTAGATCCCACTGAGGAAGCCCACCACAGCCTCCAGCACAGCAGGGCAGGCATAAGCGCTGCTACGGCTCTGAATTCTCGTGATGTAACTTCTACCACTTGCAAGACCTTGGCAAGCTCACGGTCGCTGGGACCAAAAGAATAAACGTCTGAATAAAAAAAAAGATGACTGCTTGTAATTCCTAAATTTAAATGTGAAGAATTATTGACGGGAAAATCAGCGTTTCTTCACCAAATTTTCATCTCATGAAGGAATAGAAACCCTGGCAGAATAACTACATTTCTCCCGTCTTGACTGCAGTGGCTTCAGGAAAGCCCGTCAGTGACGGCGTTGGAGAGTGGAGACTTACTGTAGTTCAAGTCTGACAGAACATCTTGTCTCGCCATCGGCAGAAGATCTTTAAGGTCTAACTACTGTATTTCCATATTAATAACTAGGTATTCTTCTATACAGTACATACAGTATATTAAAAACAACTGAATCCAACATAAATTTCATGATTCAAAAAGAAAACTAAATTGTCATTAAAATCTTTGTAATTTTATTTTGTGATCACTTCAGATGTGGAGTGTTTTTTAACTGAAGAACTTCAGTTTATTGCAGACATAACTGTACCTGAAGTAACTATGTGTCTGAAACCTTCCCAAAGAGGGCTGCCGTTTTGTGTTGGAGTGTGTTGACAGTCGGGTTGTTTTTCGTGATATCGGAGGCAGTCGCACCAAGGTCGATACCGACAGTGTTAGCAGCCAACTCAGAGTTCCAGTCTTTACAGAAGATTTGACATCTGGACAGCCTGAGCTTGTTAGCACTGCAAAACTGCTTCAAACCATTGGAGTACACCAGGGATTCAAGAGAAGGCTGTCAGCTGTCACGAATGCGGGACTGCAGTTCGTGTGTCACTTTCCACCTGCAGACAGGTAGGAATGCTTCTACTAACACAGGCTGGGGAACTCCAGTCCTTGTAAATGTTGCTTGCATGTTCATGTTTCAGCCCTCTACAGCAATGTTTCCAAGTCTCCTCTTCTCTGTTTATTAACAATCGTCTGGAGGTCGTTGGGGTACAAGGCTGGCCCAACCTCCCTCAGCCTGTTGGGGTACAAGACTCGGCTTGATAGTACATTGTGGGCGACAGGGGGTCAGTACATTGCCATTGATAAAGTGGTTCAGAAGACACAATGTTTCTCCCCTATTTCTTTCTCCTTCACTTTGTGACTGAGGTGCCGTACACCACATTCAAAACCTTCAGCAGGTTTTGAACACCAAACACACACAATGAACACATTCCTGGAGTCCCATACTGACGGCACTCTTGTCTTGTTGGCAAGGAGTCACCTGGTCTGAGGAAACACTGCTGCAGCAGCTGCAAGGCCCTGACACGTACCTGTGTGTCCCAGCAGCTAAGCTGGTATTTGCTGGGATCAAGAGGACACCTGAGAAGGGGGCACCTGAAAGAGGAAACATTTTGTCAGCTGTGTCTGCTGCTACATTTGCCTTATTTTTTACAAACCAGCGCCACATGTTTAGAAATTGTAGAGTAGGGATTCCATAGCAAGGAACTGGAACTGGACGTTATTGTCTTTCTTTGTGAGACTCTGTTTTAAGGGGTGTTGGTTATGAACCGTGTGCGTGAAAGCTCTGGGCTTGTGACCTCGGCGCAGGTGGCTGTAGCTCTGCTGGCCATGCCTGTGCTGTTCTCCTCATTAACGGAGCTGCACTGGTGTGAGGGAAAAGTGCTGGAGTTCAGCTGCCCTGTCCGTACAAACATGTTCTCTGAAAGCCTTCTGTGTCAATGTTTACTGACGCTGGTGAAGGTACTGGCACCCTGTAGCAAACATTTCTAAACTTAAATGACCAGTTGCAAGGAGGCCTGGAAGATGCTTATAGGCAAAAATAGGTTGATAAAATATTCATAGAATCTAATGCTGCAAATGATACAAATAGCTTTCACAAAGGTTGGTAGAGCTTATGCCTGCCACACTACTGTTGATTCTCCCAAACAGTGACGGGCTAGACTGCTGCCTGATCAATCGGTCTGTAAATGCACTGCAGCAATCTGAAGCCAATGTGACTCTGGAATATATTTTATTCCCTAATGCAATCACAGCACATTACACCCCAGGAGCTGCATTAGCAGTGAGGGCTAATGCACAGCTTATGTCTGAGTCAACCACTTCACGAACACAGTGCTGTTGACATGGGCTCATCATTCTTCTCAAGCTGCGAAGGAGGGGTTTATCTGGCAGGGAACTGTTTATTAATTATGTATTGCGCACCTGTCAGGAGGCCTAGCGCTTTGCCAGACTGCCTGGCTGCGCTTGTGAAGCCCTGAACCTGCGCCAGCGCAGCCTCTGTCAAGAGCCGCGGTGTGCAGCTCCACACACACTGATGTCTCAACCACAGAGGCCTGTCCCAGGTGCCCCTGGACAGGCTCCCCTGGGACGTGGCTCTGCCACGCAGCGGCTGTGGACAGAGCTCAAGGTGGCAACGACTGGTTCGCTTACGCTCAGCGTTTCCATGCACGCAATAGAGGAAGAGCACTTAAAACAACAACGGAGGGCACTCCTTTACACAAAGCATGGTGGGTGTATGGAACAAACTGTTCACCCATGTTGTCAGAGCTGATACTCTGACGTCTTTCACAAAAGGGCTGGATGAGCCTCATTTATAGGCTTTCTTTCTGGGAAGTGTGAGCTGTGCCCTGTTCTGCACGTCACTCCGGGTGTCCCTCCCCTCTCCCAGATGGCTGCAGACTGGCCGACAGCCTCAGACCCCCAGTGTCTGAGTATGGCAGTGCAGGAGAGCAGTCAGGCCGTCTGCAAAGCTCATCTTACAGCAGCTGGAAATAAATGGCAGTCTGACGTTACAAAATGGAAATGAACATGGCATTTCAAGAGTGGAGAAACAATACAGAAGAACGAAAATAATTCAACACTGATTCCACTGTGGCTGTGCATTTTATATTTGTTTCAATAATATACCAGGTTACACAATCATTGTATGTCTTTCTTCTGGAAATATGGATAGATTCTTATGTTCCTAAGTTCTTTTGATGTGAACCCTGCACTGCACCCAGAAAAGGACAGGTGCTGTTTGTTATGTTCACCAGCAGAGGGCAAGCTTTCACCTTAAATGCAATTTTGGGGTTTTCAAACCTGCATAAATAAAAGCTGTATTTTTAACCTGCCATGGTACAATCTCATTATAAACAACTTGAAGATTTTTAATATATGTATTAAAAAACATTCTACTGAATTTGACCGCAAACATGACCAAGCAGTAGTAGATAAACATTTATTTTGTTTTATTTTATTTTGCTTTATGTGTACCATTTGTTGTGAATCAATTCAACATTACAGCTGAGAATAGTGTGGTATCCTACTCAATGTCATTCATTTACTGTTGCTACACTGTGAGTAGAACATGCCTGTACTTCTAAAATATGGGATGTGTGAATTTGTTCCAGACTCCCACAACCCTTTGTGGAAAGAAGTACTTCTGTTTTAAATGGCTGTAGTTTCAATTTGTGGCCTCAGGTTTGTGTTTCAGTTGGTGTTTTGAGGTTCATGTTTCATCAAGCAAAGAAGTTTTTTTCAGAAGCAAGTCCATGTTGCTCCATGCAGAAGTGGAACAGATAACACGGACAGAGGTCTGGTTTCTGCAGTCATGCACACTCGGATGGTGCTCTGGGTGTTTTGTCAACAAAAGGACATTTGAATTGTATTGCCCTTTGTGTTAAAATGTATTAAACGTAGTTTTGACCTTAACTGGTGGTCACTGCTCCATACAAGAATACACTCTTAAAAAGTCCACAATGCCAAGGGAAAGTGAGAGAGAAACAGCTGAGCCCTCTGGAGATGCGTACAGACCCAGGGCACGCAGTGAGTAAACTGTCAGGAATGTGAGTCCTTCCCTGCCCAGTGAGGCCCAAACACATCTAAACATGCAGTGCAGACTCTCACTAAACACTTTCACAAGCTGCTTCGCTGTTGCTACCTGGCAGATGTCTGTAAAAGACAGCCTACAATAACATTCCTGTAGTTTGTACAGGAGTAAAAGTCATTGTCTATGATTCTAACAGGATCATTCTGTTCTTGCAACCTTTTGAAGTGTGTTATATAAAACAGGAACCTTCAGTTCATTTTAAAATGCACAAATGGATCGTTCTTGATCATTTCTCTGAAATTGTTTTCTCCTCATAAGACCTGGAGAGCACCTTGTACTTCACTGGAGATACCTGTGATAGCTACATCTCAGAATAAAAATCTCTTTCCTTCAAAATGCAGACGTTATTCTTCATTTAGCATGTCATACAACATTACTATTTGAATTGTATTTGTCTGAATTATTACTATTAGTAATTAAAACTAATAGTAATAGTATTAAAACTATTTAATGTCTTCGTTTTCTAGATGTAATCTGATCACGTAGTCAATTTCCCTGTTGGCCTAGATGTTAACTTAGCCATCAGATCATGTCTGGTGCTGTGTGTCGTGAATCAAGCAAGGTGTTTTAAACCAACACAATGCGAGCAATGGGCATGCCCATGAACACACACTGACCTCCAGAGAGCAGCAGCTGCTGACCCAGCACCACTCAGCACAGCGCTGCCTCTCCTGTCTTCGCCCGGCCTCAGGCGCCAGAAGAGCTTCTTCATCTCCTGCCCTTGTTCTGTACCTGGCCAAGCGTGTCCTGCAGCTCTCCCTGGACTATCCGGAGAACGGGATCAGCCGTGACGGCCGCGGACACTCATGGGGAGGACGACAGCCGCTGAAAGATTCCAAGGAAAAAGCCTTGGGAGGAAAGGAATCGTTTGGGCCTGTGTTTTGTCCGGCGCAGTGACGACTCCGGCAGCTCAAACACATTTGCGCTCCTGCTGGTGGCCTGTAACAGGCTCTCCGGCCTCAGGCCTCGTCCACAGCCCTCAGCGCTCTCTGCTGCTCTCTGCTGCTCCCCAGCCGCTGCGCCGGTGGTGTTTGAGGAGAGGACTGCGATGCTGTTTCACTGCGGGGAAGGAGTGGTAACGTGTGTGAGGACACACCAGGAGGGCCGACTCCAGGTACAGGGAGGACTGTCTGACAGTTGCTCCCAGGGCGGGGTGCTGTTGTCTCTCAGTCTTTGTTTTCTGATATACACAGTAGAGCTGTTTGGAAACGTTACATTTTTTTCCATTTCAAGTGCTGTGTTGTGCATCTTTATTTGCGTATGGTTCATATGGGTCGGAGATCTTTAACATGCCTCTTTGTGATCTTTACAATTCTGGTTTATTGATCTGTAGTAGGAGCGTGGGCGTCCAAAACAAAGCACTTAAAAGATCCTTAATGGAAATAATTTAATTCAAAGCTTTTAGCGGCCACTCGTGGTGAAATGGCGTCTCACCCGAGTCTCTAATTTAGTAACCTTAAAAGTTACCTGTCTCCCTGTCTGGTTGTCAAGCCGGTCTCACCTGTGCTCTGACCGAGCGACGCAACGTCACGGAAGAGTTGCTAAGATTTAATTAAATACCTGACGTACGGGAGTCTTTGCCCTGTGCCGGTTGGAGCGCCGCTCTGTCAGTCAGTTGCTCTTTCTCCGCCTTCCTCCTCCTCCTCCTCCTGACCCTCTTAGCTGAGCCTCTGAGCCTCTAACAGAAGCCGAGCTGTGCGCTTTCGGAGAGGCGCAGTCGAGTGTTTCTGAGGTGACCGATTCTTAGTTCAGACTGCAAAGTACTTTATAATCTTATCGAATACCTGATAGGCTCCAAGGAATTTCGAAATCCTGACGATCGCTGGACTTTTAGTTTTTAGACATTTGCTTCGTGAGCGGAGATTATTCTGCGCTCTTCCTGCTCGTCTTGGCAGAGAAGTTTTTCCTTCGGCGGCTGAGCTCATCTCTGGATCGCTGGGCCAGGTGATACTGGGCTCTGCTTTCGCTACAGGTACTGCAGTATTTGAGTTTCCTCTTTTCCGGCTTGGCATGGTTATTCTTTCTTGGTTGGTGTTTAGAATTTATAAAAAGCACAGTTTTATGTGTTTTGAAAGAGCTTTTTCTGTAATCTGCATGTTTTCTTGTGTGTGAGGCTAAGGTAACGGTCTGACCCTCAGGACGCACATGGACGAGATGTAATGTACATACGAGTTATTGCACAATAGAAATAACTTTGATTTGCGGATCTGTTTTACTGTAGCCAGCAAATACTGAAAAATACTACCAGTGAACCTTGGGCTTCATTCCAAAAATCAGGATTTATATCTGGGATGGCAAAACCCGAAGTAGTAACCGGTTCGGTACTTCTGTCTGAAAGTTGTTTCCTGTCAGCCAGGTTAGCGGAAGACATTTTGTCACTATTTAATCCTAAAATAGTGATTTGTACACTTGATCAAAATCGTTCGGAACTTTCGATTTTTTATTGTGTACAGTCCATATAGCCAGTGCCCAGTCAACAGCGAAAATACTGCAAACTGAAGTCTCTCAGTCTCGCTGTTCAGATGAGAGATTCAGCTTCTCCGTTCCGCATAGAAGCACGGTACGTTCACAGGGAAACACTGTTTCCTAATTGACCTGTCACCTGAGGAGCACGGATTATCAGGACGTCTTTGGACCTGAGGTAATGATCTGCTCCCTCCAAGAGCGGTCGCACAGGCTGCGGTTCACCGAAAACACCTGACTCCCCCTCCCCCTTTCAGATCTCAACACGATGTTAAAACCTTGATCGAGTCAGCTGAGAGTTCGTCAGAATTGTGCTCTGTAACAAAGTGCTGTAAAACAGAGGCAGTTGACATTTTGGGTGTAGCGTACCCACCCGAATATCCAAATGCAAAGTACAGTAATCAGTCTTTAGAAGCCCAATCGCTGAGAGAGGAAAAGCTCTCCAGTCGTTTTCAGATGGTAAGTATTGTAAAGCTCCATTGTGCTGCTGAGGACCGGGCAGTGTGTTCAGTGTGCGTGAATGCGGCTCGTCCTGTTCCGTGTGATCACCTCCAGATAGGCGCTGGGGCTCGAGCTCCGTCCGCGTGATTCACGAGCTCTTTCCATTCACACCCTCCCCCGTCGCCATGGCAACAGAGGACGGCGCGGCCCGGGCCTTTTCCCCTCTGTCCGGCTCGGACCGACTCCCTCTCAGGCGGAAGTACCGTGCCGGCAATGTATTGCTGAAAAACACCGTCGCCCCCAGAGGACCGCACGCTCAGGGGACGGGCATTGTCGTCGGCTTGTTTGCGGTTCTGCGACTTGTAGCCTGCGATTGTTCCTCCCAGCGTCCCTTGTGTGGGTGTGAACTGGACGGAACCGCTTCGGAGCTGCGTGATTTTAGGCCAGAGTGCGGTGGCGCTGGACACCTCGTCCACCCGTTCATTATAGCAAGACGTGCACGGCCTCCAAACAGATTCAGATTAAAAGATGTCTCAATCTTTTATTGAATCGTGATAAACCCCCCCGAGGAATACGCTGTGCTCTGCGAGGGTCGGTCCATGTACTGTAGAGGCCAGGGCGCGTCTTGACATCCCTTGACCACACTCCCACAGGCCAGCGCAGGACTCGGCAGGGGCAGCCTGCGTGTGCCCGTGTGATGCCAGTCTGACCCGCGTGTTCCTTGTAAAGAGCCTGCTCTTCCACTGGCAGGGAAGGGCTGTTACTGTGGCCAGACTGGGGCTATTCAGTCCTGCTTGTCCCCCGGCCCCTGTGGGTTATGTGTCGGCTGAGGTCTCAGTGTGTAAACGAGAACAGTGTGCTCTTCCTCCTCTGGCCTGAGCGGCCGGAGGTCTCTGTCGGAGAATTTTACTTTGAGGTGGTTCTGGGTAACGTATACAGAGACCCATCTCGCCATCTGCGGCTCCACAGACGTGCTAGACAAAGTCACGCGTAATAAACTGCTTCTGTATCCCGCTCTGCTCCTTATCGGTATCAATAATGCAGTTGCTGTAATAAATACCACAGCTCAATCATCCAGTCTGTGACACCGGCCCACACTTATGTCCAAATGCACATGACACTTCCTATCCTTCGGAACATTGCAGTTTAATTAAATGTTTTCATGGTTATCATACGGAGGTGATAGTTTTCAATTAAATGCTTTTTAATTATCCTGTTTTACAGGCGTGCAGCTTGAATTGTCATTAGATTATTCCTCGTCGCTTCGGGGGTTTGATAATTGGGCTTTAGGGAGTGAAGATGAGCGAAATGTTTGGATTCTTAACGCCTATTACCTCGTCAGCTTTCAGTTGATGAAGGAGTTTGCAGTTTGCTCATTTTCACTTAGGTCACAGTGAATGTGATTAACAAGCAACCCAGCACCAATGAAAGTAACCTGATAAACCTTCTCTCCGTTTCATCACTCACTGGCACAGTCGATCCTGGTTTCCCATTATATTTCTTTACAAAGGGCCTGATCTGTTATCCTTCTCCTGAACGTCAGCCATAAGGATAGAAGACACTGTAGATGACAGCCATAGGAAACCATGCCTGTTAGCGTCTCTAGTTTGCTTGCTGGTGGCTCAGGGATCTGAGTCTGGGTGCTGGTGCGTTTTAAATTCAGAAACGGTTTATACAGCTCATTTGTTCTGAGCCCTTGCTGAGGTGGGATGCCTAGGAAACACTCCCAAGTATAAAGTCAGGCCGTGCTGCTGTCCTCCAGTGTGGGCTCTGTTCTTGGCGAAGGCCAGACGAGCTGTGGCACTATCCCAGCCAGGGGTCGGGGCAGCGCGGCTCCTGTGGAGGAGTCCGGGCTGATGGGACACCGGGCTGCGGTTGCCGCGGAGACCTACAGGAAGAATGACAACAAGCCCTGAGACTGCAACGGGGCGATGGCTGTTGCTCAGGCGCAGTCGGTGTACTACTGGAAATAAATCACCCCGTTCGTGCTGTGCGCAGAAGCTGCTCCACCAGTCCTGCTGCTCCCTCAATGTGCACCGTGAATCACACGCCCACCACCCCCCAGAACTGCCCCGGCTTCATCTGGGACAGGGGCAGCAACAGCAGCTCAAGGAAAAGATTTAGACTGTTGTATACAGAGGCGACTGCTGCAAGTGTACAGGGAAAGCTCAGTTGTTGTTTCTTTTTCCAACTGCACTGCATTCAAATGCTCAGATGCCAGTTTTGAGTCTTCTGAAGGTTTTTGTTTATGCATACATGCTCTTTGATATGCAGGTGATAACAGTGGAACACAGGCTGTGCTGTAAATTGGAGTTCTGTTTGTTTATAATTCACAAAGCATACGCCTGTGGCACCACAAGAGTCTGCCATATGATGTCATCTTCCAGATCCTGCAGAGGTGTATATTTACAGGTTCGGTGCCAGCCTGTGTTATGTGGAGTCAAGATCCTGGACCGTGCTGTTGAAAGCAGAGATTTTTTTAATTTCTCATCCTGGATCAGTGATTCTCAGTCCTAAACTTGGACTAGGTTTCATTCCATTTGAGCTCCTAGATATATAACTACTGTATATACACTTCTTGATCCTTTTAATTGAAAAAGCTTTTTTTAGATGTTTCTGATCTCTCTGCTATTCCAGAAATACCCTGCTGCACCCAACAAGTTTCAGAATCTTTGTTCACTCCTCATCCTCTTTATTAAGTAGCTTATAGTTTGAGCAGCTCTCAACAGGTGGTCAATTAATGTTGATTCGGCTGCAGGTGTGAATGGCTCTGGATGAAACACTCCCATCATAATCTCCCTTTGTTCTGCAGAGGTCCAATTGCTTTATTTTCACACAACTGGGTGCGCAGAGCTGTAAAATTGTTTGAGCCATTTACTAACCCCACCCAATTTAAGAACTCAAAATTCTTTTAAAACGGCACACAGGTAGCATGCAGAGATCGCTGTAAAAAAACATCTTAATGGCAGGCAGAGATCGGAGAGCTTTAGTGCTCATAAGCTCAGCTGGCATGCAGCCCTGTAGCACACATCAGCGCTTCTTTCCTCAGGCTGCAGCAGAAGATGGAAGATTCTTTCATGTTGTTTCCTTGGACAAAATGATGCCCCAGGGGACACAACCAGTGAGCAATATGACCCCATGTATGCAGAGCGAGGGCCCTGGGGACCTGCAGGGCCTTGTTGGCCAAGGCGAAGACCTTGCAGAACAGCAGTGAGGCTCTGGTCCACTGTCTGGAAAGTTCTGCGTTGGGGATAACCCTGCTGCTGACATGTGAAAAACCATCATGGTCTGATTGTCCCCGTCTCATTTGTAAGGTCTATTACACGCACCCTGCAAAAAAACAGCTCATTAGCCGGAGTGTCCTGTAAAAAAGATGACGCAGTACAGTAACGTGGCAGTGTGAATCAGGAATACACAGGCAAAGGAAACATGGGGTTTAAATTTTTAATGCTCCTCTTCTGTGTGATGATGAATCCACTGTGCGGTAGAGCTACTGATTGTCTAAAATGAGAAAGCAGCACAGATGTTTGTCACACTTGTTTCAGCTGTTGTTACTGGTGCTGTGTCCTCTGGGTTCAGGCCTGACCTGGAACCTTAATGTCCTCCCCTCCTGTGCAAACACAAAAATGTTTTAGGAATTCTACTGTACATAACACTACCTTTACAGTCTTTCTCCAGAAAGCATACAGTGATCTGATTTATAACAATCAACGTTGTGAAATATGACCAGTGGAGGCAAGACAATACTGGTATTTACTTAGTGCTTGGCTGCTGAAACATTGCAAAATAAAGGTGATGTGTTTTTCTTTTTAACCTGTGCCTCTAAATTGGACTTGTAAACCTCTTGGTATGCATGGAGCGTGATTTTCCTAATAATGCAGCACTCAGGACACCTGTGGTCAGGTGCCTGGGAGAGGGGAAAGGAGTCCCTGCCTGTATGCAAATACTATTGTAAATCAGGTCGGGTGAGGAGTATCTGCGTGCACGAAGGGCTCCATTTCCTCCCAAGTGCAGAGAAACTGGGTTAGTGCTGACAGAGCACTGGCGTGATGCCCTCCTGACAAGCGT